ATGGCAGTCGCTGCCGCGCGAGGAGCTCACCACCAGCCAGACCACCTCCGCCCTGCATCTCCGGGCGCGCTCCTCGGCCCGAACGAGAGAGGGGGATAGGGAAAGTCTGGACGCCCGAAATGGGTACCGAAAGAATTGGTAAAATGCCCAACAGCAGTTCCTGTTCATTCTGAACAGGATTCGCTGTCCGCGCCGCCGCGGCCTGTGTCCATTCGAGACAGAAGGCCGCCTGCCCAACAGCGGCCGCTGTTGGTTCGGGACAACATTTGTTGTTGGGCATAGTGCCCATTTTTTCCGTACCCATTTCGGGCGTCCAAAGAAGGGGGGGGTACGAAATCTGTTGCATGCAGCTCCTTTCGGCCCCGCCGAAGGGCCCATTCCTCGATACACGGGCGCCTCCCGGCGCCCGGAGGCGCCAGGAGAAGCAGCCACACGAGCTGATTCTCAGCCCCCCGCTTTGCTATCCCCCCCTTTCGCCCGGCCCGAGAGGAGCTCACCACCAACCAGATCACCTCAGCCTTTCATCACCGAGCGCGTTCCACTACTCGCAAAATGCCTACTCGCAAACGTCCGAAAAGCGCACGTCTGCTGCGATGTGAATTATCGTGGATCCCCGGAGCAGGATTCAGGCCATTTGCGAGTAGCTACTCTGCCAGCGGTGGAGCGCGCTCGTCCACTTCAGGGGGTCTTTTTGGAAGCTGATTTGCACATACAGGACACACTTCTTGGAATTCTGTGGAGGCGAATAGTGGCCGCTGAAGGCCACGAGTGGCCGCTAGAGGCAACTGAAGGCCGCTGAAGGGCAACTAAAAGGCCACTGAAGCACTGAAGGCCGCTGATAATACATCAGAGGCGGGTAGCGGCAACCAAAAGTTACTCAACCGAGGTCGTATATGTTAGACCGAGCTTCCAAAAAGACTCGCCTAACCCCGCCCGAAGGCCCCAATTAGCCCTCCATTCCCAGGGGGGGGTCCAAACACACGTGGAACCCGTACCCATCCACCCCAAAATTTGAGCCTTCGGGTGCGGTCGTGGTGGTCTGGTAGGTAGTCAGGAGCACGCCCGACCTGGCCCGGCCTAGCATCCTCCAGCTTCGTGGAGGAGGAGGAGGAGCCGGTGCCGCCACCTTTCCCTGGTCTTGGCCGTTTGGGGGAGCAAGCGATGACGTAAACATATTCGCCTGGCGAAGGACCCAACCATATGCAGTTGTAGTACCGCAGTTGTGGGTATCGGTGGAGCTCCCTATGCACCACGAAACGCTGTGCTGGATGGGGGCGACGCATGTGGACACCGCCACTGGGGCCTTAGCCCTATAGGGCCACGCAACGCTGTATGCTGGGTGGGGGAGATGCATGTGGACACCGCCAATGGGGCCTTATGTGGAGCTCCCTATGGAGCCACGCAGCGCTGTGCTGGGTGGGGGAGACGCATGTGGGCACCGCCACTGGGGCCTTAGGTTGAGCTCCCTATGGGGCCACGAAGCGTTGTGCTGGGTGGGTGGGACAGAGGCAGGGATGGGAGGAGGGAGGAGAAGGAGAAGAGGAGAAGAGGAGGGGGAGGAGGAGGAGAAGAACGCAGGACGCTGTCTCTTCAAAGCACCACAGGATGGTTGGGACAAAACTCAGGGGTCCGCAAAGATTTCACGTATCAGCGCGGGGGCCCTGGCGGCGCCGGAGCCCCTGGCGCGCGGAGCGCGCCAAGAAGGGAGGTCCAGCGCCGATCCGAGAAATCCGCGCGGATCTTCTAGCTGTTCTCTTTCTCTCGTCTTGGCCGTTCTTCGGGGCGGGCCTCCTGGGAGGAACAGCCAGATCCTCCTGGGAACCCGAGCCGGAGCGCGCGTTCCCAGAGGGGGGGAGGTGGGGCAGGGTTCGCATGTGGCCTTCTATGGATCGGGCCGGGCGAAAGGGGGGGATTGGGAAAGGAGGGGTTACGAAATTTGCTGCATGCAGCTGGTTTCGGCCTCACCGAGGGGCCCATTTCTCGATACATAGCTCCATCCGGCTCCGGGAGGCGCCGGGAAAATCAGCTACGTGAGCTGATTCTCAAACCCCCCCTTTGCTATCCCCCCCTTTCGCCCGACCCGAATGGAGGCCTGGGGCGCAGTGGCACCGGCACCTCTTTCTTCCCCCCCGCCGGCGGCGCGGAGGCGAGATGTCGGAGCTGGTGGCTCTGTGGGGCGCCGGACGGGTGGCGCCGAGCTCGCCAGGGCCCCGCAGCGGCAGCGCCTCCGCGACGGGAGGCGGCTCGGGGGCCGCGCCGCCGAGCGGTCTCGAGGGCCGCGGGGGCTCTCTGCCCACCATGCGGTGGCTCAAAGATGGGGTCCTGAGGTCAGGGGGGGAAAAAACACACAGACACAATTAATCGGCGATTCCCAGACAATATAGGAAAATAGGGGAAGTGGGGGGGAAGACAGAAACCCAGAAAATATAGGAAAATATGGGACGTACTTTTATTTGTGTGTATTTATTTGTGTGTCCCAGTTCCTCTTCACTGAGGTCAGGGGCAACGATAGGGGGGGAAAGGCATAGGAGGGTATGCATCGACCCCCAATGGCCCATTGATCGCCAATAGGGGCCCGATAGCCCCAACCCGCCCATGAAGGTGCGGATTTATTATCGGTACCCTGTCGCCGATCTATCGGCGATGTATCGCCGATTCCAGGTCGATGCGTCCCCCCCTATGCCAGTCCCCCCCGATCGCTGCCCCATAAGGGCTGGGGCCCTGAGTCAAGGGAGGAAAAAGCACCCCGACCCGACAATTGGCGTTTACGAAACGGCCCTGGGCGTTTATTAAGCAGCCCCGCCCTGTTTGATTCCTTCTTTTAGTGCGTTTGCTAAACGACTTGGCGTGTCGGGGTGATTATTATGAGGGTGGATCCTCTGTTCTCTACTAAGGATAGGAAGGGATCCAAGGGTAGACTTCTACGCTGTTCGAGGCGCCTCGCCCGGAGGACCCCATCCCTATCAGGACCCCACCTTTGGAGGCCACCGAGCCGTGGCCCCGAGCTGCCTGAAGGGCCGCATGGCTGCGAGGGAGGGCGGCTCGTGCGTGCCCGGGCCCGCGCGCGTGCGCAGGGCGGCGAGCATGCCGGCAGGCGTCGGCGGAGGCAGCCCGCGCAGCAGCCCCACGGGGCCCGCGGAGGGCCTGGGCGCGTGGCCCGCGGGGCCGCCCCGCCTGCGCCGGGCCGCGAGCACCGCGGGGGAGGTTGCCGGGTCGTGGGTCAAGCGGTGTCGAAGCGCCCTGGCACGCCCATATAACCGCAGGAAGCATTTAAGAACCCCCCCCCCCCCCTTCCGGCAAATCGATAACCCTTCCGCACCCTGGAAGCGTTACCTGGCACCAGGAGCCCTCCTCCTCCTCCTCCTCCTCCTCCTCATCCTCCTCCTCCTCCTCTCCTCCACCCACGAACTTTCTCATCTTTTCTCAGGTTTCTCAGAAATGTGCCACGTTAGTTTTCAGGCTTCTCAGGTTTCTCAGGTTTCTCACGTTAGGGTCACCAAAAATGTTCTAAGAACCGTGTGTGGTCTGCGCGAAATGCTCTTAGAACATGTCTGGCCGAGACTGTCTTGTTTTTAACACATCGGGCTTATGTTATGAGAGCGCTGTTTTGCTTTAGGAACAGCTTCGGGTTCTAAGAACATGTCGTGGTGGGGCTATAGGAATGCCGGGACGGTTGGTCCCTGCTCAAGTGGTCGAAGAAGCGACGACCGCAGCCGCTGGGCTGAGGGCAGTCGTGGGGAAACGTAGCGAAGAAGAGAACGCGCCATAAACATAAACTTCTGGCGCTCCGCGCAGATTTCTTGGATCCGCGCTGGGCCCCCCTGGCGGCGCCTCAAGCGCCGCCCCTGGCGCGCTCCCTGCGCCAGGGAGGGGGCTCCAGTACGCCCGAGTACGCCTGAACTCGGGTTTGCCGACGCTTTTTGACGAGTGCGTCCTGGATCTTGACTGTCCAGTTGTCGTGGGATGTCTGCAGCGGGAGCTCGCGTCAAGTTTCAGATTGGGCCTCGTCATGTTCATGATGGCCTCGTCAGGCCAACCCGAGTCCCCGGAACCCGAGTCTTACGTCTCCCCGAAAGGCCCCTGACACCCCGACCCTGACCCGCCTGCGGTGATGATTTGCGCGCGGCACTGGAGATCGGGCGCCGCGCGCAGGCCATCACCGCCTGGGAGTTGTGGTCAGCCTTGGGTGAAGTCGGGCATGTTCCTCTACAGAAGGAAGATTCAAGAATAGTAAAAGCATCGTATGAATTCGATATTTCGGGCTCTTTTGAATACTGTTGATTATTGTGGAATGTTTATTCTTTCTGTGAAAGTAAATTGTCTTTCAACATCGGCCTGTAGCGGCGCCAGGGGCGGCTGCCTCAGCCCAGCGGTTGTGACTTTTCTGCATGGACTCCCGAGCAGGAGCACAGGCGGCGACATGATTCTCGGGTGAAGCGCGTCCTGTTCTTGCCGTGCCTCGTGAGCAGCACCCACGAGGTGATCGTTTCCTCATTCATCGTTTTGCCGATCGGCGCGGGCCCTCGCCCCCCCCCCCCTCCCATGGAGTAGATCTTGGCTGTTTTTGGCGCCTGTTTCGAGCAGGTGAAGCCTCCCCCAAAGCAGAGGTCTGGAGCCAGACCCCCCTCCCCTCCCCCGCTTTCCACCCAGTGTCGAAACGCCGAATAAGAGAAAAAGCACGAGGTGACGCCGTACGCCCAGAAGTATGGCATCCACCCGAGGTTCTTTGTGTTCGAGAAGAACGGCGACAAGAGACTGACCGATTCGGGTATCAAGGAGGACATCAAACGCATCGAGCAGGGCCTGGGCCCTCTCAAGCTAGGCAGGAGGCAGTCATCTTGAAGACGAGCCGTGCGAGGCACCAACAAAGTGCAGATGTGGCAATAGCGAAGGGCGACATGCTAGTCGAACACGTATGCCGCCAATCATCGTTGCCCATTGCCGAGGGTTGTGGCAAGAGCTCTGCCAAGCTATCTGACCATGTGTCCGCCTAGCCCTTGTGTAAAACCTTAGGGGAACATTTGGGGGAGGATGGCGGAGAAGATCAGGAGGAGGAAGAGGAGGAGGAGGAGGAGGAGGAGGAGGAGGAGGAGGAGGAGGAGGAGGCGGGGGCACCTTGGGATCCTTGGGGACACTCTTGGGGCCTCCTGGGAGCTTCCTGGAAGCTGCTTGGAGGCATCTCGGGGGCCTCCTAGGGCCTCTTGTTGACATTTAGGGGCTTTTCAGGGGGCCAGTTTGCCCGTCTTAGGGCGTTCTTGGCCCGTCAGACGCCGTCGGAAGCCTTCTTAGGGGGCTTCTCTGGGCCGACTTGGGGCCCTCCTGGGGCGCTCCAGGGCCATCGTGGAGGCCATCTTGGGCGTCTCGGAGGCCTCTTGGGCCGTCGTGGGGCTTTCTTGGGGCCGTCTTGGGCGCCTCTGGCGCCGTTCTGGGGTCATCTTGGAGGCCTATGAACCGATCTTTGGGTGATCTTTAGACGCTTTTGGGCCGTATCGGGCCGTCGGAAGGTCGAACTGACACAAATGCTAAAATCATTGGAAAACCTCAGGACGATCTCTGCAAGCCCTCTTGGGGGCCTCTTGGGCCGCATTGGAGGCCTCTTGTGGGCCTCTGGCTGACCTTCTCGGCCGTCGTAGGCCATCTGGAGACCATATTGGACAGTCTTGGGTGCATCTTGGGGCCATGTTGGGGTCTCTTGGAGCCATCTTGGCCGTCTTGGAGGCATCTTTGAGGCCATCTTGCGACATTTTGGCCGTCTGAGTGGCCATCTTGAGCCGTCTTGGGGGATTTCTGGCCCCTTCCTGGTGACCAGCGGGATCGGCCGAAGCCCTTGGGGGAGCTCTTTTGGAAAAGAACCAAAAGCAAACCGTATAGGATTAAGCACGACAGGAATCCCTGTGGCAAGCCAACAGGGGACGACGGATGGAATGGCCTTCGGCCCATCCCGCCACCGCGCCTGGGTTGTGGGGCAGAGTTCTCAGGGATGCTTCTCGGGGTCTCTTCGGAGCGCTCTCGTGGTTTTTTGGGGGTCAGTTTTGGCGTCTCTTGGAGCCTCTTGGGGGTCTCTCGGGGCCTCTTTGGGCCTCTTGGGGTCCACTTGGGCCCTCTTGGGGCCTCGTGGAGGACTCTTGGGGGCCTCTTGGGCCTCCTGGGGGCCCCTCGGGTCCGAGGGCTTGAAATGTCAGTTCGGGTCCCCCACTATGGGTCCCCTCTTGGAGCTGTCTTTGGGGCCTCTTGGGCCGTCTTGGGTACCTCTTGGGCCGACTTGGTGCCCTCTTGGGCTTTTTTGGGGCGCCTCTTAGAGGCCTCTTGGGGCGATCTTGGGGGCCTCTTGGGCCGTCTTGGAGAGTCGGGAAGTCGAAAAGGCGAGAACGCCAAGCATTTCCGACCTCTTGAGGCCTTCTTGGGAAGGCTCTTGGGGCGTATTGGAGGCTTCTTGGGCCGCCTTCTTGTGGCCATCGTGGACGTGTTGGGGCGATCTTTCGGCGACTTGGGGCCCCCTTGGAACGTCTGGAAGGCCTCTCGCGGCCCTCTCGGCCCTTCCGGGGGCCCACTTGGGATTCGAACAAGCCGCGCGGGGAACCGCGCCACGGCCAGGGGGGCACGCGCCAAGCGCAGGGAGATTTGGCCCTGTGGGCGCCGGGCCCCTCAGGAACCCTTGGGATCGAGCATTGAGGCTTCGAGGATTACAGGGAGAGGACCAGGGAAAGGACTCGAGGATTAAGGCTTCGAGGCTCGAGGAACCCTTGGGATCGAGGATTAAGGCTTCGAGGATTATAGGGAGAGGACTAGGGAAAGGACCTGGGGACACGCCCCCCCCGGGCCCAGCGCCACGGTGGTGGATCGGGAGCCTCGAGACGGGGGTCAATGCAAACGGGGGTCAGCCAGAGCGCCAGATCTTGCAAGATCCTGCAGGGCCAGGCTCCCATTGGCCCGGGTTTGGGTGCAGGATCCTGCAGGATCTTGCAGGATCCTCCGCATTGACCCGGGTTTGGGTGCAGGATTTTGCAGGATTCTGCAAGGCCTGGCTGACCCGGGTCTAGATTGACCCGGGTCAGAAGATCCCCGAGTGGATTAACTCTTCCTCTTCTTCCTTGCCTCCCTATTGAGCAGAGTGTTGTGCCCGAGGCGGTGCAGGCTGTCTTGACTCACCTCGAAGGTGCCGCTTTCAACGGGTGATGCTCTGCGCGACATGTCGCGCCGCGATCCAACAGCCAGTGTTGCGCCGCACGTCTCAGCCTCACGCGCTGGAGCTCGAGATCCAACTATGCGTCCACTTCACGGGAGCCTCCGAACGTTGCTTGGCCCACATGGGAGGGTCTGCTAGTGGTCGGTCGGCCTTGTGGGTACCATTTGACTGTTTATGGTCAGGACGGCTCGAGTGGTTACATGCCGTTTGAAACGCAAGGCGGGGGCCGGCCATGCATGTGAAGCAACCCCTTCGGAGCCAAAGCGTTCAGCAGCGCGTCCCTCATCTGGTGACAGTCTTCAGACGGGTGTGCATATGAAATCGTGCCTGGCAGCGCAGTGCCCTACGCCTGACATGCTGTAATTTGTCCCCCTCCTCCTTGGACTGTGCGGCGACACAGAGTCGTACATTCCACCTCCAGGCACTTGCTGTGTTTTGAAGATCACTTTCGCAGAACACCTGGTAGCTTGCACTTGCAGCGCCGAAAGACAGCAGTGCACGGCATCGTTCTGCTGCGCCTGGCTTCTTTGCAGCTCCTGGCTGGGTTGCAGTGATCCTGGCTGGTTTGCAGCTCGGAGAGGCAGCTCACCTGGCTGGCTTGCAGCGTGGGAAGGCAGCGCACGGCATCGCTGCCTGACAAAGACGCACACGAGCTCGTGGGGCAGTCACAGAGGCATCGCTGCCCTGCACGTACAGCAGCCCCATCGGGCCGTTAAGGACTGCCCGAGGTTACCTTGAGGGTGCCCCGCGGAAGAGGAAGGCATTCTGGGACAATTGTGATTTAGATGTCGTTCGACCAGGACTCATGCTCTTATTCCCGAAGTATTCTCGAGACAGCTTTGGGAGCACAGGGGGTCCAGAGTGAAGTGATGTCTTGGTCCTCTCTGCAGGGGCACGGTGGGGCCGACAACGTAAATCTGTATTTCTTTCTCTTCGTTTTGGGGCCGTTTTGGGGCAATTTAGGGCAGCGTTGCCATCTTGGAGTCCTAATTGGACTGTCTCAGGCGCCGTCTTAGCCGTCTGGGAAGCGGGCTCGATGCGCTTTGATGTCGATTGCGGCGGCTGCCCAGGTCTCGGCGGTAAGATATGCGGTCCTGGTGGCGGGCGGCACGACTGGCCGAACGATTGGTGGGAAGTTTTGGCTGGGGGCCAACAGCACCTTAGATATGATCCCCAACCATCCTGTTGTGTTGGGTTCTCGCTTTGAAGAGACAGCGCCCCGCGTCTCCCACCTCTCCTCCTGCTCCTCATCCTCCTCCTCCTCCCCCTCCTCTTCCCTCGTCCAAGCATTATCAGCATCATAGCATCATCATCATCAGCAGCATCATCACCATCCTTATCATCAGCATCATCATCATCAGCAGCATCAACATCCTGACCATCATCGCCATCAGCGTCAGCGTCAGCGTCAGCGTCGTCATCATCATCATCATCATCATCATCATCATCATCATCATCAGTATCGACATCATCATCATCATCATCAGCATCATCATCATCATCATTGCGGTGGGCGCCTGCGATTCGGTGGCGACCCTCCTCGGGAGAGCGGGACCATCATCATCAGCAGCATCAGCATCAGCATCAGCATCAGCAACATTATCATCATCATGGTGCATCATCATCATCATCGTCATCGTCATCGTCATCGTCATCGTCATCATCATCATCATCATCATCATCATCATCATCATCATCATCATCATCATCATCATCGCTGTCCACCACACCCATGTCGGCATACCCTCACACGTTTCATGGCCCCACAGGAAGCTCCACCGAAGGCCTCAGTGTCCCCGCCCGCATGCGTCCGCCACACCCATGTCGGCACACCCCTCACACGTTTCCTGGTCCCATAAGGAGCTCAACCGCAGGCCCTAGGGCCACCGCCCGCATGCGTCCGCCACACCCATTTCGACACACCCCTCACACGTTTCATGGCCCCATCGGAAGCTCCACCGAAGGCCTCAGTGCCACCGCCCGCATGCGTCCGCCTCACACATTCCGGCACACCCCTCCCAAGCTTCGTGGCCCCAGCCTCAGTGCCACACCCCGCATGCCTCCGCCACGCCCATGTCAGCACACCCCTCACACGTTTCCTTGGTCCATCAGGAGCTCCACAAATGGCCCCAGTGCCCCCGCCCGCATGCGTCCGCCATAATTACCCATTTCGGCACACGCCTCACACGTTCCCTGGCGCCATAGGGAGCTCCACCGCAGGCCCTAGGGCCGCCGCCCGCATGCGACCGCCACACCCATTTCGGCACACGCCTCACACGTTCCCTGGCCCTATTGGAAGATCCACCGCAGGCCTCAGTGCCACCGCCCGCATGCGTCCGCCACACCCATTCCGGCACACATCTGACACGTTTCGTTGCCCCATAGGGAGCTCCACCGAAGACTTCAGTGGCAGGGCCGCATGCCTCCCCACCACCCGTATCGGCACACCCCTCATTCGCTTCGAGCCCCATAGCCCATATCGGCACCCCTCACAGGTTTCTGGGCCCCATCGGGAGCTCCACCGAAGGCTTCAGTGGCTGACCTTTTCGCTAGCGCAGAGCGGGAGAACGCTTGCATTCCAAACTACGCTTCCGGGGGGTCTCGTCATGTACCACACGACAATCTCTTGGAGCGTTCGAAGGCGCCCGGGAGTCTC